TTCATTATCTAGATGCATTAAAAACGAATTTAATTTTCTTTTAAATTGAAATTAAAACAAAGCAACAAAATATAAATCTAAACCATATACTGGTGCCCTCTGGTATTACATAGTAAATTTTTCTATAAAAGTATATTCGTAATCAATGAAAAGGAAAATACACAAATTCACATCTCACTTTTCTATGGTTAAATACTTTCTGTATGTTAACCAAAGAACAAAAACTAATCTTCTACTTATCTCACCGTGATATTTAGTTCAGTCAAGACAAAGATAATATTCTTGACAATAGTAAACGAACTAATTGCACTCATGAAATTAATCTAATGATTGTCATTGAAGTAGAGTTTGTAATGGCTAAATTTGATTGTATGCAGTTATGTTATAACAATAATTGATAAATAATTGCACACGGATGCGTCTTATTTTATTCTTTTTTTTTGATCAAAGAATTATTTTCTAGATGACAACTACAGAATCTTCGAAATTTGATGATAATGATATTAATGATGATGATTTACTTGCTGCTTGTGACGATGTTCCTTTGAAAAAATCTGATCCAATTATTCCGATAGGTAATTTTCAAAAACACGATCCTTATCCAATCAAATATCTTCTCTTTTTCCTAATAGTCGAAGTAGCTTCATTCGGATTTCCATTCGAACCATATCAAATTCAAATTGATTTTATGCGTAGTCTTTATTCAACTATTCAACAACGTAAACATGGTATTTTCGAATCACCTACGGGCACTGTAGATTTTATTATTTATTGTTAGTTGTTGAATTTTGCTTCTCAATATTTTCCAGGGTAAAAGTTTGAGTTTAATATGTGGTTCGCTTCGATGGTTATTTGATGAAATACAATCATGGAAAGATGAATACGAAGAATTATTAAAACCAATTGAAACTAAAAATGAAACGAGGTACATGAATAAAATATTATTTTAGTTGTTAATATGATATTATTGCAGTTCGGATAATTGGTTAAAACGGTTAATGAAACGCAAGGAAGAAGAAACCGCAAGAGAAAAACGACGAGTATGTTTAATAAAGTTTGCTTTTTCTCATCTAACAAGAGAAGTCTTTCAACTATTCAATCGCTGTTTAGTCGACGCTAGGTGCATTCGGTAGAACAAAATGAGCTATGAATACTCTGCAACTCTTGAGAACAATAGAAAAACTGATTTTCGAATTTCGAATGAACTTTACATAGAGACAGGCATGAACAAAGGTAGTTTCATGTCTTTTGATTTACTTCAAATCCTGAGATAAGAACACCAAATTTGTCGGTTTACATGTACGATGTACAAGACACGCTATCACTATAGTTTTATCTTAAGATATACAAACAGCAACAAGATCTGACATATTCATAAGTAAAAATATTCAGGCTAATGCATGTCTCTATGTAAAGTTTCAAGTTAAAATTCGAAAACCAGTTTTTCTGGTGTTTCCGAGGGAGGGCCACAGTATTTATTTAACAAATATTGTAAAAGTGAAATATCTCCGTAACAATAAGCTACGGGTACAAACTCTGCTCAGGGTATTTATAGCTCAATTGGATCTACATAATGCATATAATCTTGACTGAAAAGCAATTGAACAATTGGAGAATTTCTTTTGTAAGAAAATAGTTCTTTGTGAGAATGTAACTGTAGTTCTACATCTATCAATCTCATTTCTAATTAGGAAGAATTAAAAGTTAAAATTGATCTTGAAGATCAATATGCAAATGCTGCAAAGAATACATTGGCAGCTAATATCAAGAAAACGGTAAATTTATCATTTGGTAAATTCATTTTTATTGCCTAATATCATGTAGAAACGAGATTTTGATGCAAAATATCGAGATTTATTTAATAGTGAATTACTTTCAAAATCTGATGGTGATGATTCATCTTTATCAAAAGATCAATTTAAAATCGATAATGATGATGAATTAAGGTATAACAACAAAATATTTAATCTATTAAACTCTTCTTTTATTTTAGTGATGAAGAATTAATTATAAAAGATAATGATCGTAAAATATTATTTGATAATATTGATTCACCAACAAAAACTGATCCAACAGGTTTACGAGAAAAAAAAGTTCATGTCCAAAAAGTAAAATAGTCTTACTGGAAAATTTATTAAAAAAGATAAATTTTCTTTTATTTAAGATTTTCTTTTGCACCCGTACACATTCACAAATATCGCAATTTATTGGTGAAGTTCAAAAAACAAAATATGTTGATCAATTACGTTTAGTAGCACTTGGATCACGTCAAGTATTGATTTTTTAAAACATTCTTTCGGATAGTTATTTAATTATTTAGAATTTATGTATTAATGAATCAGTACTTAAATTGAAATCATTAACATTAATTAATGAAAAATGTCTTGATTTACAAAAACAAAAAAAAGAAAGTAAAAATATTTTGAAATAAATCTTTCTATTCAATGTTATTTTGATACTTTGTTTTAGAAAAAACAACGAAAGAAAAACGACAAAAAACAGCTTGTGGTTGTTCATTTCTACAACATGATCGAGTTGAATGTTTATCTAATGATATTCTTGTACATTTAAAATAACACGAATAGTTTCGTTTCATTCTAATTATCTATAGAATGGTTCAGTAAGAACTTGGAATACGTATTGATTTTGCCTTAATTGTATCAAATACATCTTATCAGAAGAAGATGTGAGAAAGAGCAAACATGTTACAATGAAATTGACATATGCGTTTAGAGTAGACATGTGTGAGATCAAAAACAAATAAAACTTCATCGAGACTGGCACCGAAATGCAAGACTATTTGATATCCTCAGCTCTGTGAATTTTCAAATGAAATTTTTCATGCATCACAAATCAATTTATTATATTCATATTCGAAATGAATAAACTGCTTTATCATTATGAACAATAAAATGTTTCCATTATTACTCGATTGCTTTTGTTCCTCTTGTTTACTGGACATGACTTCTTCATCGTTATATAGTCGTCATTTTTGCATATCATTGGGATATATCCTTTGCTAAGACACACACATTTACTTAGAATACGTAATGAAGAAGCTGTCTATTCTGATGATATCTTCCTATTTGTTTCACAAAATCATTTTAGATTAGCTAAAATTTTGTTGACAAACATGATTTCATCTATTTTTTTTTTCTGTTGTCAATCATGTTCTTTATTCAGTAACTGCTTCATCTCAGTAGACATGTATAGAGCCATAGTTTTACACATGTTTACTGCAGAAATTAGTTGTGACTATTTTCTTTTTTTGTTCTACTAGTTTTGCTTAGGCTGTATATATCTGAATAAAGCAAAAAGGTTAAATAACACTTTTTGACAAATAATTTAGACATAGATTATGTATTTTTATTGCATGATCTTTTTCTTAATAATATGTGGTTTCTGTTTCAGAGTGATGTACAAGATATTGAAGATGTTGTTAAACTTGGTCGTGAATTAAATACATGTCCTTATTATGCAACACGAGCAGCTATTGCAGCTGCTCATCTTGTTGTTTTACCTTATCAAACTTTAATGCATAAATCAACACGAGAAGCATGTGGAATTGAAATGCGTGATAATGTTGTAATTATTGATGAAGCACATAATTTACCGGATGCTATATGTGCCATGCACTCAAATGAAATAAATGGAAATCAAGTATGTTAAATTAAACAAAGCAAAAAATTCAATTTTTTTAGAAATTCTATTAAAATCTAGTTAATTGATTCCTATGGTCAATTATCACGTTATCATGAAAAATATAAAGCTCGTTTAACAGCAAAAAATTTACTTGCAATTAAACAATTATTAGATGTACAAATCAATTTAATCAAAACACTTTGCTGTAAATAGAGTGCTTTTTCTTTTAAAATTAACTATGCCTGTGTATTGTTGATTTAGCACAAGAAAATTTGTCAACAATATATGATAGTGAAAAATGGAGTAACCTCGTTGTTTCATCAAATAAAACAGGTAGCATCGATATTTGTTGTTTATTTGAGAGTTGTGTTTTAAGAAATTAATCTATCATAGAAACTTCCTCAACTTTTGATTTAATTGATTATTTATCAGATGCTGGAATTTATGTTAATCTGTTTCAACTTATTGATTATATCAAAACAAATGAAATAACTAAGAAGGTTTCTTTGCAAATATATTAGAACTCATATTAAACTTTTTTTTTTTCTTCGTTCTATATAGTTACATGGTTTTATGTCAAAATATCCTGTAAATAAAAATCACATATCAGAAGGTAAAATGCATATTTGTTTCATTAAGTATTGATATTTCAATTATATACCTCTGATAGAAAAGAAAACAAATGAAAGTGCATTACAGAAATTATTACAAAAACAAGCACAGAAACAATCACAATCAAATGTTCTTGATGAGGAACAATTAAGTAAAGGTATACGAAGAAATAATATACATTTCTGCATCAACAATCAATAACTACAATAAAGAACTTAAATCACTCGAAGCAGTTTTCCTTGTATTAATCAAGTGATGATAACATCGAATAATTGAATTGAGACTTATTGTTTTGCAAAATAATTTATTTGACAGTTTGCAGAGATGATTTGATGCTCTTAAGAACTTTTCTCATATTTTTCAAAAATGTTCTGTATTTAGAATTGCCAAGATCTTATATGAGGCAAGTGAGTCGATCCGTTTTTTAAATATTTTAAACATACGCAGAAGATTGTAGTCAAGTTGATTTTTTTATTTTGGGACGTGATAAATATTTTTCTACTGCGTAATTACATTGAAAATATGAAATTGTCGAGTTTTTTGTTACTGTATAGAGGACCCGCTGGATTTAGTGGCCTATCCTGAGCTAAATTTCAGTGCATCGAATGGTATATAGTAAATCACGGTTTATGAAAATTTTGATGTACTACAAGTTTATATACTTATTATAATCCTTGAAAAATATATAATACTCATAGATATTGTGCTCCGTAAGATATTTTACGATAAATTTATGCAAATTTTGTTTTTAAATTCAATTCGCTACATTTATAGACGCTCTTCATTTTTTTATAATCAATAGTTTTCATCTTTGCTTGCTCCAAACTTAGAAATGGTCTCTATTCTTAGGCCTAGGTTACTTCTTGACTGTATGATAGAAACTCATTGTAAACATGCATTCTTGTTTCCTAGAATAGTCTACTATTCAATATGAAAGGGTCGATATAATGACGCTATTTCAACAATCCTTAGTGGATTTATTAAAGATTCTTGTATACCAATAATCATCACAGCATTTCTGATGAACTGATATAAAGAAAACCTTCACAAACAGATAAACGTTTTTGGTGCTCAAATCTTCAGACAGGATACGGCGATATGGAATAATTTATTTTTGAAATGAGCATGAGATATTTATATATTCTTGTTGAGTTTCATGGACAAATTTACTCTGGATACTCGGAATCATAGTTTGAGAAAGTAATAATAAAAATAACCGACGTCCTGCCTGCAATTCTATACCTATAACTCCTCTCCAAGAAGAAGTCTGACAGCCAAAACTTTTTTTTTTAAATATCTGACGGAATTATTTATATGAATTCATGCTTTAAATTTAGTTTATTTGTTACTTGAATTGTTTCTTTATATTTAAAGAAACGACGGAACAACGAATCTCGAACTCATTTGCTATTTTTGCAAAATTTCTCGAAGCACTAACAAATCCACGCGATGATGGAAAAATTATTCTTATTATGAAAGGTTTTATTATTTAACATTCACTATCATACTTTATTCTATCCTAAATATTTTCTAGAAACTCTTGGACAATGTTCAATCAAATATTTTGCTCTTAAAACTTCATCATTTTTTCATGACATGGTTAATGAAGCACGTTCGGTTATTGTTGCTGGTAATTTTATGTGTAGTTTTCTTTTTCACTAAAAATAAAAACTGATTATTCTATTTTGATTTATAGGCGGAACAATGAGACCTGTAACCAATAAACTAATGTCGTTACTCTTCATTTCTCATTTTTATTTATTTTTTTGTTAATAGATAAATGAATTTATCGATCATCTTTTTCTTGCCTGTGCTCAACCCGAAGAAAAACTGTTTCAATTATCATGCAGTTAAATATCTCTTTATTAACGAAATTCTCTATATTTTATGTTTTTTTCTTGTTCATCTGTTCAATTAGATCATATCGTTCCAGCAGATAATGTACTTGCTATAGCACTTCCATCAGGTCCACAAAATATTGAATTTGAATTTACTGCTGTCAATCGTTCGAATACAGCGATGGTAAAGTTAGACGACTACTAATGATGCTCTTTATTTTTCTTTTATCCTTCTTCATAAATAAAAACTTTCATCTAGATGGATGAATTAGGACGTGTTGTTGTATCACTTTGTTCTACTATACCAGATGGTCTGGTAGTTTTTTTTTGTTCATATGATCATTTACAAAAAACTTATACATATTTTGAAAAAACATTTGTACTAAATAAGATTTTGGCCAAGAAGAAGGTTTGAAAATTAACATTGCAAGAATTTTTTTTTCTTAATATTTTATCTTAATAATTAGATTTTTATGGAACCAAAACGTTCAAGTGATGTTGACACTATTCTTACGAATTATACAAAATCAATCAAAGTTTCTTCAAAAATTTTTATTTATGTTTTTCATTTCTATTGAAATATTTATTTAGAGTGGTACAGGTGGTTTACTTTTTTCAATTGTCGGTGGTAAAATGAGTGAAGGAATCAATTTTTCTGATGAATTAGCTCGATGTGTATGTATTGTTGGTATGCCCTATCCTAATATAGGTTCAGCTGAAATGGTTGAAAAAATGCGTTATTTGGATTCAATGAAATTAAAATCTACTACAGCTGGAGAAACAGCTGGGAGAGCCTATTATGAAAATACATGTTGGAAAGCAATTAATCAAAGTATTGGACGAGCTATTCGACATCGTGGTGATTATGCTTGTCTTCTTTTAATTGATAAACGATATAGTAAAGCAAATATACCATCGAAATTACCTCATTGGTTAGCAAATAGTTTTCATCAAATGAAGAATTTTAATGAAACATCAAACGCACTTCAACAGGTATGCTGATTGAATCTTTTCATCATGAGTTCTAATGATTATTTTTAGTTTTTTGTTCGACGTTCGAATAAGCCAACATCATCATAAACTGTTAGGAAAGTTATTTTTTTTTGTATAATCTTATGTTCATAAAATAAATTTAATAATTCGCATACTTGAAAGATAAATCTGTAAAATATGAAAAGTAACAAATGTCATTCTTTTTAAGACTTGATAGTTTTCCAGTTTTATGTAAAATAATAGCTAAGTCAATGAACGCACGATGGAAAGCTAAAAAACTTGTACGGGAACAATTGTTGTCAGAGGTAAAAATTTGATGAGCAGAGACAATTTTTTTGCAAGGTTTATTTGTTCGAATTAATTTCACCACATCAACGATAAATTCTGCACTTTCGATAGACATTTTAACTCTACAAGTCTGACCTACCAACTGTCAGTAATAAAGTAGTTACTATAAAAAAAATGGAACTACATAACAAATGGGATGTACGCATGTTCAATATACAATTATGTGTCAAAAATCTTGTACAAAATTAAGATTTGTGTTTTGAAATATTATTTTTTTCGTTAAAAGCAAGTATCAAAATTCATTTTTCTAGGAATCAATCTTCGATAGATATTAGTATAGGTCAACCATAGACAAATGTGATCTCGTTCAATAGTATATATCGTAGACTATCGATCAATATCCCAAAAGTCTTTGGAGGGCACATAAATGAAGAAGTACTGGTATAACATAATGTGCCTGTTTTATTTTGAAAACACTAGTGATGGCTACATATCGGTATGATGATTAAAAATGTTATAACAATAGAAATCGAAATTACATCCAAAAACTGATCTGAAAATCTATTAAAAGATCGATTGATGTTTTTTCTTTAAATATCTCTATTTGTACTTCTCGAAAACTCGTCATTGTTTCATGAACAAGATGAATCTCATTTTAAGAAAAAACAAGGCTACTGGAAACATGAACTTGAAAAAAACTAAACTCTTTCTTCTATTTATGATGAACTCAGCTGAAATAATTGCCAAAAATGACTAAGAAATTCACTTAATGAGGTATAAATAGTTTGAATTACCTCTTTAATTATTTTGAGGAACAATTTCTAGAGAGAACCAAAAAACCATGTCAATATATATAATTTAATCATTTTAAGTGGTCCAATTATGTGAAAATGTTTCTGCTGGTGTTCCATGCATGAAAGCATAGCCATGTGGTAAATTTTTAACAATTTTATGTGCTAAACATGAATTCGAAATTTTAGAGACAGAAAAAGAGAACTGAATGAGTTTTAGATATAAATATCAGCTAATCAATTAACTAATTCTTTACTAGCATATTCATCGGTGATATCTTCTTGAAGATTATTAAAATTAGCTGATAGATCAATAAGAGAACTTTTTGTTCTGTAAATGATCTATTGTTGATGTACGGAAATATCTTTTAGGATTAACTAATTTTAATGTTTGAATGTCTTCTCTTTGCGCTATTCGTAAATCTTCTGGATCACCATCAAATTTAGACTAAATGAAAAATAAAATAAAAATAATTTGAACAATAATCCTAATAGTAAAGAAAAATGTCAAGTGTTAGAATTTCAGAGATCAGAAAAATTACATGGCAAAACATTGTTATTGTTACTAACTGTACTCAAGTATTGCCATGAGATTTTCATAGAATGACTGGATATTGCAAGTATTTGTTTGATTTTAACCACTTACACTGATTTCAAGAATTGTATGGACTCCTATAAATGAATAACCTGACGAGACAATCATTTTCATATAGATTAATATTCATCTTATGGATGATTGTAATGTAGTGGCAGACTTAAGGTGACTCTTCGAGTCAAGAATCAGGAACTTTTAAATGATGCTTTCTTAGATAATGTGAAATTCTTTTCGTAGCTAGCTAGGTAGTATGCTCTATATTTTATTTCCTTTATAACTTTTTCATAGAAGGCATTTCGAGATTTGCATATGGGGTTTGGATGTGGGTAGTATGTGGATGTTATTCACTAGAGTACTCATACGCACTTACACCCTTCTATTCGTCACCTGGTAAGTACTATCATTTCGTCTATCTATTCCTGTGCATAAACTTGTAGAAGACGAAGAAAAACGTAATCATATCTTTCAAGAAAATATCAAACTTGTTCTTGAATCAAATCACAAAAAAAATTCGAACATTCTCATTGGCCTTGCATGAATATGCTGATTGGACACAGGAAGAGTTGGAACATTACAGAAAAGGTCTGAACGAAGAGCCAAAGAAAAAAAGGCGTTTTTATGAAGATAGTGATTCTGAAGAAAATGAAGATATTGCTAGTCGTGCACCATCCGAATTATATCGTCATGATGCCAATGAAAGAGATGCAAAACGAAACTTTATCAAACAAAACCATGATTAGAAGCGTTAATATGATCAATGTTTTATAAAGGATAACTTTGTATTCTTATACCAGTCAAAATAGAAAAATGTCGAACAAATGATACCAACAAATATATCTAGGTAAACTACAGTATAGATCGATTGCTTCTGGCAATGAAGTAATTCTAGCCAAAGTTCTTACTATCAAATGACTGATCTTTATCGGATTTGATACCCATTCACCATTATTCATGTTTTACAAAGAGGTTATATACAAAATGAAGAATTGTTCGAGTAGTCGAGGATATATGGATCATACTATAGCACTTGTTGATTACGATTTCGATAAAGAACTTGAACTACCGTATTGGACCATTAAGAGTTCGTACGGAACAGCGTGGCGTGAAAACGACTATTTACGTTTGACAAAAGATAATGACAACATATGTGGAATTGCAACAGCGGCATCATTTGTAGAATTGACATGAATGCACTGTATTTGAAGGAGTTTCATTTTAATCTTTTAATCTTCGATAGTATTTTATTCGCTTGAAATAAATCCTGAAATTATGTAAAAAGCTCGAGAACAATAGGAAGAAGACATAAAGAAGTGATCTCTTTTTGATATGTTGTTGATATTGTCATTTTTTTAGCGGTTCAGCTATTGAGAACTTATATTATATGTGCAACACATTAGTCTAGGATTCAAATGGAGAACAATACGAACCAATTCCATATGATCTAGACACCGTATGAAAGAACACATTGGTCCTTTTCTAATTGGTGATAGGGTTCGTTTCCATCCTGATTAGGATTTAATTTTTGCTAGAAATCACTCTTGCATTGTATCTTATAATAAGATGAAAAGATTTGATCTTGCAATCAAATATGAGAAGTAATATGTTTTTTCTTCCTACAAAATTTCAAAAAATTTTATGCATATTCACAATCAATGAGAAAAAATATAAACTGTCACGATCACGGCATACCGTCGAATATATCACTCTATGTAAAAAAAAAAAAGACTAATCTACTCTAACGGTGCAATATAATTTGGTTTTGATCAAGTAGCTTCAAATAAAATATTTCTTGAATCAGAATCAAATTAACAAACAAAGAATATTATTTAAGATTCCTTTAAAATATGCCATCAAGAACTAGGGACATCTACTAATGGCTCTGTTTACCATACAAATACATATAAGAGAATATAATATACATGAATCATTCTCGCATTGTTGTGGTCAATATAATATCTCTCATGCTGAGTCGACAACAAACGATTCATATTTATGAAATAGTTTCATGATTTTCTCTTTAGATACTTCCATTATTCCTATTTTTTAGTCAAATAATTTTGATAAAATAATGATTTTACTCGAAGTTCATAATCGTATAATCGAAGAATTATTAACAATACAAATTGAAACATTTTTACGACAAGAAAAATTAGTTGAACTTAAAACTGATGTTGTGGGTATGTAACTTAGATATTGTATAAAGAAATAAATAAAAACAAAAAAGAGGATTATTGAATACATTTAGATTTTGATGGTGCAGTTTATCATGTAACAAGTTCACGTGATAAACCATTTACAGTTAGCATTAAATTAAAATTTTTTCGTGATTTAGAACAATATGGTACTGATGAAGTCAGTTGAAAGATTTCGTTTTCTTTTTTCCTCGTTTTAATAATAGTTTTATTTCTTTAGGTTCTTCGTCGTGAATATGGTGATCTACTTGTTACACCTTTAGAAGGTTATAATGTAACATTATCATTAGATTTTAATAGTCAATTACCGAAAGGTGATAGTAATGAAGTTTGGTTACCATTAGTTCGTAAAATTGCAATGCTTAAAAGAAATTGTTTTGCGGCTGTATTTGAAAAATATTTTGACTTTCAAAGTAAACAAGAAATAGCAAAAGGAAATCATAAACGAGCTGTTATACATTATCGTGATGATGAAACGATGTATGTTGATGCATCGTCAGATCGTGTTATTGTGATTTTTTCAACTGTTTTTAAAGATCCAGATGATAATATTATTGGTCGAGTTTTTATGGAAGTAAGTAAAATTTTATCTATTTTTGTTTTAGAACTAAAAATTCTTGTTTTTAAGGAATTTAAAGAACGAAGACGACAATTTCAACAAGCACCACAAGTGATTGTTAGTTATCGAACACCACCAGAAGAATTAAAAGATATGCCTGATGCACGTACAGGAGATAATATTGGTTATTTAACTTTCGGTATTCATAAATTCTTTTGATATAAAAAAAAAAAAAAAAAAAACTAAAAGATAAAATTTTATTTATTTTAGTACTTTTTCCACGTCATACAAAAGCAGCAGAACGTGATAATACAATAAATCTTATTCATACACTTCGAAATTATTTTCATTATCATATTAAATGTTGTAAAGTAAGTTTTCGATAAATTCAAATAAGAGATATGCCGAAAATTTCTTCAAAAAATGTTTGACTATTTTTAATTTGCATATGTACATGCGTTAGTCATGTATTAGAATCAAAATTTTATGCTCACTCATAATATATACTTAGAATTTTTCTGTCATTGACGTACATTGATCTATAAATAAATCCTTATAGAAGACAAAAGCTTTCTAAAGAGGCAAACATCTTATTTTGCTAGAGACAAGTCTGCTTCCTGTCTACATCAAAGAAGTCCTGAAAGTATATCATAGTGAAGAAT